ATCCTTCTTAATGTACTTTTTGCGAACGATGATGATAACGATGATGAAGACGATGATGATGAACTAATAAATCACTAAAGCAAACAGCCAAACATCAAAAATGAAGAGGAGTCATATATATATATATATATATATATATATATATATATATATATATATTAATGTACTACAACCACCTAATTAATAAAGATTTAAATAAGTACTCTAAAAAGGCCAGTCATAATTATGTGAATATTGTAGAAAACAGTAATATTAATAGTAAAAAAAATCACAGACAAATTGATAATTAGTGATAATTTGGGTAAACATAACGAAAAAGAGTGCTACTTAAAAATAAAGATCACAAACCCGATTTCGAAGCTAATCCGATTACAAGAATTATCAACCCAACACGACATGAAATCGGCAGAACTAGTAAGAAAATCCTGGAAATAAATAATGAATTACCTTGGATTAAACCAAATAATGAATTACCTAGTATTAAATCTTTTGATCACTACAATAATAAAGTTACTAAATGTTTTACTGATTTCAAGGAGAAAGCAAATTGTACACTAATACAGTTTGACATTGTTAACTACTACCAATCGATATCAAAGGATCTTTTAGCGACTGCTAGGGATTTTGGTGCCCAATACTCTGAAATAACAGAAGTAGAAAAACATTGTTATGAATGCGAAAGGGCGAGCGATGGATTAAAATCTTTTATGACGACTTCGACATCACAATGGGATTATTGGACTCTTCTGACTTCTGATCTCATTAGTGTTTTTATGTTAAATAATGATTCAGCATATCGCTAAATTCGTATTAATGATATTGGATTTTGCATAGATAATTTTCATATAGATATAAAAAAAATTCTACAAACATTAAAACTGATAAAATTAGAAAACTATTATACAGGGAATTCATAGAGCTTCCTTGATATAACATTAGATTTAATGAATAATATATACCTACTTTACAAAAAGCTCAATACTAATCCTTTGTATATACACCCTAAGTTTAATCATCCTGTACCTAGAATTAGGCATATACCTTTATCTATCGAAAAAGAGAATAAGTAAAAATTCACGAAATAAGAAAAGATTCTATGAACATATAAATTTCTATAATAAATCTCCAAAGAATAGTGGCTATAAATTCCCAAAACTCTATTATATAAAAATGAAAAGGAAAACAATATAAAAAAAAACAGAGAGAAAAATAATTTGGTATACACTCCCATGCAACTAAATGGTAAAATATAAATTAGGACAAACAATCCTTGCATTAATTCATAAACAGTTTCCTAGAGACAGTAAACTCAGCACCTTTATATTAAGTTCCTGTTGTACTAAAAATTTAGAAATGATTATAAAGAAACATAATGCTAATATCTTGAGTAAACACAGGGCAAAATCAAAAAAAACTCTAGATCCAAAAAGAAAAATAAATGAAGATAAGGAAAATTATGTAACTGTAGAAATCCTCAAAACTGTCCCCTCAATAATAAATGCTGCATAGATTCATTGGTTTATCAATGCGATATTTCATCCACTGAAGAGTAAAAATTTATATCAGATGCACAAAGATTTCAAAAGGTGTTAGAACAACATCAAATGTTCGTTAGAAATAATAAATACAGAATCATATGTCCATCTCTAAATGTTTCTGGCGCTTAAAAGTAACAATAAAACACCAACAGTAAAATAGAAAATTAATAGGAAGAGCTAGAGCTTGTAGGTCATTAAATGACGCATGTCCTTTGTGCATACATGAAAAATTATACACAAGTTTCTGAAAAAGAAAGATTTATTAATAAAACAAATGAAACATACATGTTTATAGTTGATCTTTGATTAATAATTTTTTTTTTAAATACGAATGAAATTTTAATATATTTACTTAGAAAATAACATATAGTCTATTAGTTATTAGAAGTAGAAAAGTACTTTAAATTTATAGGAATAAAATTTTAAATATTGAAAATACGACTTACTCATATTCTGAAGAACCCTTTAAGAAATATTTGTGTAGAAAATTATAGATTAAGCGGCCAAGTAAAAATGCCATAAAATTTTTATCATTGAAAACCCAAGACGACACACGAAAAACGGATGCCATTGTTTGTGAGCAGGTACCCCGACCGAATTTTCACTTAACCTGGTTTTGAAAGTAAGTTATGTTTGATACATAAGTTCTCTAGTGAAACCCAAACATCCCTTATCAAAATTATTGAATTTTTCCGTAATCTTAACAATTTAATATATTAAGATTGTCTGTGCTTATAAATGAATTAAACTTCTTAATAGGTTATTCCAAAAATCGCTTGAGAACGGAATAGAGGTATGGATTTTAAATTCAATTTTATAATTAATTTTAAAATTTTAGTTTCTATTTTGAAACATGGTAACTCCTGTGTAGCAATTGGACCATATTTTTAAAATAGTATATATATATATATATATATATATATATATATATATATATATATATATATATGATTCCTTATCAAGAACGCTGTAGAAAATGGTTGGCTCTCTGTACAGGTCCAGTAATTATTTGACCCGCTTTATGCTTGCAAGAGTCAGATAGAAAGGATACAATACACGAAAGAGGAAAGGAGAAATACCGGCATGGCGTAAGGGCTAGCAATCTTATCTCGCTAAAACAATTACGAGTGAGTTCGATTCTCACTGAGTACCCCATACGTTCGGCTTTGTGCATCATCTAAGCTACGCTTAGAAAAATCACCAAAGAAGGAGAGATAGAGAGAGAGAGAGAATCTGGAATTTGTTGCGTCAGTCAATTTTGTCTTGTGTGTTTCAGTATCGCCAAGAAGTAGACGGAAAAATACGCACAGGTCAGCAGTCAAAACTCAAACTCTTGGCCACAGTTTGATATAAAATGTTGAAGAGTAGAAATTGTCACAGTGGACAAAGCATATAAATTGTTTTCTCCAAAAACACTCTAGACCGTATCAAAGAACAAAAAAGTAACGCTTTACTAATAAGCTAAGCGAGGTTTCACAAGTTCAGAATATCGATATTTAAAAAAAAAATGTCCGTTTGTCATGTCTACTATTCTTAATATTTCGTTGTATTTCTTTTACATTTGCAGAGGCAAGACCCCAGTATTTCTTGGAAAATATGCTCCTGCCTATTTGGGCACCTCTGGATGGTGATGTCGTTAGCAAGCTTGTCTCGCTAGAACAATTACGATAGAGTAGTGAGTTAGATCACTAGGTGTCCCAAACTTTCGACCTTGTACCGCATCTCAGCGACGCTTGGAAAATATCTATTATCTCGCATATTTAAAAAAAATGACCACTACTCATGCAAAGGATGATATATTTATATACAATACCCCGATAGATGTCGGGATTATTTCGAAAGTAGAGAGAAGATATTATTTTGAACATATTAGAAAATGTCTTGGTGAAATAAAACTTATTGTATGCATGTACTTTTAGATTGGTTCTTGCAGATAAGTGAAGGGAAGATGTCTACATACACTTTGGGGTAAAATAGGTTTTGATTTAATAGTATATTAAATAGTATGTTTAATAAATATGATGGTACTTACATCGTAGGTAAGTATGTTTCACAAGTTGGTACATAAATCAACAGTGCACTAGTTTAGTGTCAAGAAATATCGAAATGAATGAATGCGTAAATCCGACATGATATATTCTAGAAAAATCTGGGCTCTTTTACTCAAATCTGGTAACAATCGAAAAAGTCGGTGTACAGTTGGTGAAATTATATACTGTATTTTCAAATGTGTATTCAACAATATAGACCATTCTTCATAACCAGAAAATGTAAGACTGGATGATAGCAACTATTTCAGCCTGGATAGAGATTATTTTGCAAACACATCACCTAACTTTGAAGAGGGCAGAAACCAAATACTCTATTAGAGTGGATCAATATATATTAAGAAGCAATGTAACTGAGTTTTGTTTGTTCGGTAAAAGGTTTTGAGGACCTCCTGCTGAAAAAAACAATTGACATGACGCCAAGTGGTATGCAAACCAATGAGATACTTTATGGATTAGATCAGCAAACTGGAAAATTATATATATATATATATATATATATATATATATATATATATATATATATATATATTACTGATTATCACGCCACCCGCCAACACACACACATACACACACACACTATTTATGATGTACTCTATCATCAATATTAATTACGGTACGTCAACTGTAATTTCAATTTAAACCAGCTCTAAGGATGTTGATGGAACAAAAATATGCCTGTTAAGGTATCTTCAAAAAAAGGTTAACCATTAACCAGCCATCGCATACATATATATATATATATATATATATATATATATATATATATATATATATATATATATATATATATACCAACTCTAAGGATGTTGATGAAACAAAAATATGCCTGTTAAGGCATCTTCGAAAAAGGTTAACCATTAACCATCAACATCCTTAGAGCTGGTATATATATATATATATATATATATATATATATATATATATGCGAGTTTGTATGCATGTATGTATTGCCATGTCTATATTGGTACATAAATTAAACTTTTGTCCCTTTGGTCAGTTTCACTACATTTTCCTTGCTGTGATAATAAACAAGATTTCTATATTTTTGTTTTCAAATGAAGAATTGCTTTAGTTTTATTTCCTCGTTATTCCTTCTTGGTATGCACTTTTGTAAACTCCGAGTATGTGGTTGTGATTTGCTCGTTTTCTACGGCTTATTAACCCTGTGCAGGTTATTTAAAGCCAGAAAATACTTTTTCATTGAAAGAGTTTTTTTTTCTTTCAGATATTAATGATGTATTGATATAGATCCTACTAATTAATGCATAGCTGGGAGCTGGGAGAAGAAGAGGTGGATTCATAACTTTACCAAGAGTATTTGTGTTTAATGGAACCCAATTGGAATTAGAACTCCGCTCTCCAATTAACAATTAACTGTCGTTATCCATTATGCCACCCGCACATCGAAGCTTATAGCACCTGATTTTCCCAAGCGGTCACTTATCTCGGTATTGACTAGGCTTAATGTTGCTTAACTTCGGTGATCGTACTGGATCCTGTGTTTCAACTCTATATGGCCGTAAGCCTATCAATAGATTAATATACCGATTTAAGCACACAAATATTTAATATGATCCCCCATTCATGAAAATCCAAACGAATAAAATCGATACGTATAATAAATTCTGAATCATCACATTTCATATTTACCAGGCGTTTGAATCTCTTTGAACTATTGACAAAGTAAAAAAAAAAATAGAAATAATTTAGTGTTCATATGAGTATTGACTGTAGTTTCTATTGCTTCTACTTTCTAATCTCGAATAAGCCAAGGACATAAAACAAAAGCACACAGCCCAAATCTTAATCAACGTCTTGTTATTGTTTCCAAGTCGCGTACTTTAGATTGCTGTCGGTTGCGTGATAATGTAAGAGGACAGATTTATTGACGCCAACGCACGCAAATGAAATAATAATTATGGCCCGATCGATTGTGGACATAAATGATAATGATAGTTATATGAATGACAATAATGATTAATAAAAATAACAATTAGCAAGACGATGAAAACCGCCATGATATCAGTTATGCTATAGAGAAAACTAAATAGAAATCTAAGTAATAAAGGCGAAGAGAACATTGGAAAGGATAAACAGAATTCTCTTTAATTGTACCCTAAAGGAAAAACAATAAAAAAAAAATGGAAATTGTAGTGTCGATTTTGTGGAAATACTAGCCGTATAACCAGTTTTAGACCGGGTTTTTCATTACTGGGAAATTTTACCGTTCTGTTGGAGCAGTTTAAGCTTAAAGTCAGCCAACCCGAAAATCAATATTATTAACAACATTTGGGTGCAACTGAGACACATCCCCAAATGGGGGATTAACAATTTGAAGGGGGCTGAAAAGGGCCGTTTTTTGCGTTCTCAATCTTGTTTCAGCCTCACGCGCAGCAACATTTGAAGAGGCGTTTCTCCTCAGCCGTTGAGTCCTTTTCTCATCATTTTCAGCCTTGCGCACGTAATCTTCCAGATATGCCCTTCTGGAAAGCCGATGACTACGTTGATCTTCGGAATCAGTAGCTCTGAGTGAAGCATTCCGAGAGTCCTTTTGAGACAATAGAACTGAACGATTGGTTATTACTTATTCGCATGGCGGACATGGCTGCATCGATTTTACGACTAGGCAAGTTCTTTTATTTGGTGGCATGTCTTAGGCAAGTATGAATAGTAAAATGGAATGCCTGGGTAAATACCAGAAGAGAACGCTGTAAGGCTAAAGGGATTACTAAGCTCGAATAACTTTAAGAAATGTTAGAAAAATAAATGTTGATTAATATAAAAGCAAGGTTAAATGTTATTAGGGTGAATGCAATACAAAAACTGACAGGAAAATTTTAAAAAAGTATAAATTGAGAACGGCTAAAAACGAAAATAAAAGCTACGGCTTAAAACTGTAGTAGTAGGCATTATTCAACGGAAAATATAGTCTTAATTGAAAGAGATTCGATTCTTGCCAAGATAGAGGACTGTGTAAACGGGGCAGGACGTACAGAAGCAGACGCGGAATTAAGCGGTAGCAATGAGCTTAGGACTGTGTAAACAATCAGTATAACACGGCGCCATTTGATTTCACGTATAAAGGGGCTTCGTACAGCCAATGGACAACTTCAACATGTGTCGCGTTCCGCTGATCATGCGTATGCGCGTGTACAGTGCGTGATATATCGCGTGTTGCAGGGGCACAAATACACGCGTTGTTGCACGTGGTAATTATCAAGGTCAGCTGATTGGAAGGTTATATGTGAAAAAGTAAATTAAATTTTGCCTTGATTTTTTGCACCAAGTGTAAACAAAAAACAGGTTTTTTTAAATGCAACCTTCAAAGTTTTAATGTTCTCCAGCCAATTTTGGTATCAAAACCGGGATTGAAGAATTTTCTATCAAACAAAAAAAAATCATCGAAATCGGATGAAAACTTTGGAAAGGCATAAACAGCATGCGATCACACACACATACACATTTTGAGAATTATAGATATAGATAATATTATTGTAATAGTTTTAACTATTTATTTTTACTAAGGTTTTTATGAAAGATATACATCCAAGAACAGACAGTAAATAGTAAAACGTTGTTGAGAGTCATAATGGATAGGAAGTAGTGGAGAGCCATTGTTGCCAAAAATTTGGACTAAAGAATTATCTATCAACCAAAAAAAATCATCGAAATCGGATGAAAAATCTGGAAACGCATAAACAACACCCGATCACATAAGCACACACACATACATACACACACATTTTGAGAATTATAGATATAAGAAAATCATTGATGCGGAACACATTATATATATGTGTGTGTGGGGGGGGGTGCATTGTCACCCACAGGCAGACTGATTCGCTGTATCACAGCTCATCAGTGTGACTATACATCCGATTGCTTGAGGGCGCGATAGGTAAATTGTCGCCATTTTATGTTTTTAATTTCGCGCATGCGCGTTGTTTTTTTTAGATGTTGTCGACAGTACAGTATAGTAGAGTCAATTGGGTAACGTTTATGAGAAAAAGAGCACCACGACACAATGCACTCCACCAGAAATTTGGAAACAGCAATTTATATTACTTGGCTTTCGCTCCGGAAGATTCAATGCGAACATTTCAGACTGCCAATCTAAGGACGGAGCAGAGCATTCGGAATGAGTTGGAAGAGGTACCGAACGTTTCCTTATAAGGAAACTGCTAATATTACGATTCATTTCGTTTCCGATCTGGTGTTTCGAAAATGAAATTGCAAATAAGGATAAAGATGGAACATAAATAATAAAGATTTTGTTTGATGATAATTGCTGAACTATTACGGAATGCTGGAAGTTGTTACACATAACCGGCAAAACGATTATATCCACGTTAATATTATTATTTAACAATATAGAAGTAAATATTGCAATAGAAATGTTTATCCAAATAATAAACAACCATGATTTTTACAACTGCAATTTATTAAAATTTCATCGTCTGGTATTTTCGCAAGTAATTCTGTTCAAAATTAATTAGATTTGTTCTAGATACTTCAAATCAGATATAATTACATATATGAAATATTCATGAAAAAGCTCGAATAAAATGTGGTTGGATTTAAAATAAATTAGCGAAAAAGATTAAAGAATTAAAATAAACAGGAATATTGTGTCCGAAATAAAATTCTAGCTGCTATTCCAACAAGATATCTTGTTACTGAAAAGAACGCTTGTAGCCAGGTAGTAAGAAATTCTTTGCAAATAATTTGGATTCGATTACCTGACTACGTTCAAGAACTACAGACTGGGAAACCTAAATATATCTTCGCCTAAACTCAATTGATACTCTTAGTAATATTATTACTTGCCTAAAAGTAATTTTCAGTTACGAATTACCAAGGCTACACCCGGTTCTTTGAAAGAAAAGGGCAGTGTAAGAATTATTTATACACATTTGGCACACTTAGTTGGAGAGTGTTTTACGGGTGAAATGTGTCTTTCTGTACAAAGTAATCATTTGTAGCTCTGAGATGCTGATGTGTCCGGGAATTTACTCACATGATTTTCGGTAAGCAATGTCTCTTTTATAACAGGTACAATCGTAGTTTTAAGTTTATGATGATCATTCTATTTATATTAATGAACAACCATGGACATCTTTTGTGTATATATAGTACACAATATATTTCCAGTGTCTTATTTAGTTTTGGTAATATTTCTATTAATTTTTTTTCATTCGACGACAGTATTTAACGCGGATCTAAATTCTCTGGTCAGCGAATAACCTTCATCTTGTACGTTAAACCTATACTGCTTCTCATATTGTTAGACATTTTGAACTTTTCTTAGATTTCCGTAGATTTTTAAAATTGTCAAATTTCTAGAACTTAATCAAGTGATTCATAAAAAAATGTTCTATCAATGTTCAAGGTATTTAACAATCTATACATAAATTATAATTACAGTAAGTCCCTGGGTTACGACAGTCTCGACCTACGACGATTCATGGCTATGATACATTAATCTTGTTTGGACTTACGTCGTTTTCGCCGTCATACGAGGCTAGAATAAGGAAGACGGCGGGGCTCAATTCCTAGTTGCATGTCATGTTACATTGTTGTGCATTCATTCTCTTTCGTTTGTGGAAATTTATTGCCCTTCCTCATGGTACCAAACTTAATTGAAACTCTTCCAGTGGCGACGCATCGAAGAAAAACCATCACTATAGAAGTGAAATTAGACATAGTTAAGCGCTCTGTAAAGGGAAAAGTAGCGACGAACATTGTATAATAAGGAACAGAAATAAAGAAGGGGTTATCGGAGAAAATACAAAAGATCTGTGGTCCATATAACATCAGGACAATCTTCAAAAGTTGTTCAACACTTTGCAGACACCTCCTCCGTGTAAGACCTTCCCCCTTATAGAACATGACTAAGGACCGTGTACGCCATCCCGTGCAGCTGTGGTAGAAAAATACAAAGGAGAAACAGGCCTCTCCTTTCAGGTAAACCACAAGAACATAACGGTAACAAAAGGGGAAATGGAAAAATCAGACGTAGTTGACTACATATGGACGGCAAAATGTGATCACGCGCGACCCTGTGGGTTGAGGTTGATATAAAAAAGAGCATCACTGGAAAATAGGAAAACTTAAGAAATCAGCACATAAGCTAGGCCACAAAAATGGCCTGAGTCGACGAAGCATAGATATAACTATAATACAGGAACCAGGAATAAAGAGTGCTAGGGAAAAGCAATGAAATAACAACATTTCAATATAAGATCTGGTAAAAAAAAGGAACTAATAATAACAGACAAATTCCATTATGAGCACAGGTAAAAATAATTGCTGAGATATTAGGCATTTAAGTCCCAAAAATTCATACACAGATGAAACATGGTCCAGTGGATAAAAGCGTTGGTTAGATCCAGTTACTACAGACAAAGAGTTGTGAATTCAATACATTGCCACAACAGTGGTGAAACAAACTTCAGAGTTGAATTAAAGGGAAATAACTTGAGACACCCGGAAGAGGTATGGCACATGGAGCTAGAACGATCTACTCCGGTGAGCGAAATAAAAGTTTTGGCTTGAAATCACCTGAAGAAAGGTGGGGCGTACAACAACCGAAATCTTGTGAATATGAGGATAACAGACCATATAATGTAACTAATCTAAGTAATCATAAAACCACACCTCAGAGATATAAACAGAATTAACGAAAGATTAAAAAACAGAGTGGCCTACGACGGGCCTAAGAGAAAATGACAATAAAAAAATATATATATATATATATATATATATATATATATATATATATATATATATATATATATATATAAATGACTATAACGTCATTTTCGACGCATGTGTGTCTTTCAGTTCAATTTTTAATCCTCCGCCTATCCCCGTCGCTATAACTCTCTCGCCAATGGACTTATTGCTCAGGTGGAATAGCAAAGAAGGAACACATAACTGAAGTGCAGACTATCCACCCAAAGGATTTTTTTTAGAATGGTGAAGGCTTGTGTAAACCCAACCAAACTTAATGGAAATGGTGATAACAAGGAGTTGGTACAAATACTTGCCATGAACACAATGAGCAACACCACTCAGGTTTTATTATCACGGACTTATACCTCTCCGGTATTACCAATGCACAGAGGAGTGCAACGCCTTTCGATGGTCATTTAACGTGATTTGGCCTGCCAGCCGAAACGGTTTACAGTTGTACGGTAAATAAATAAATAAATATATATATATATATATATATATATATATATATATATATATATATATATATATATGTGTGTGTGTGTAGCAAAAAGGTGGATAAGACACATTGACTGGTTGTTTGGCTGAAGTAGTGTGACTATCGCTTAAATCATGTGCATATATGTAAACAAAAAATTTCCCTGTAAGAGATAAGGACATTTTCTTGTTAAACTACAAGTTGGTGAATTTTCGATAAAAAATGAAAAAGAAAATCACGTTTGTTTTTCGAGTCCTGCAAGAGAAACAATATTTTACACTTCGCCATCTCATCTACCGAGAAACAATAAAATTACTGGCAACAAATATATAAGCAGCTTAAAACAATTTAATTGCTTTATATGTATTATATATATGTCATTGTTATATTTTTTTAGTCCTACTTATGTTAACATGTCATTGAAATGTGTTGTTAAGCCCTAGATTATTACTTTACCATTGCGTTAACATAAGTGAGCGACGTAAGCCTTTATTCACGGAAAAATCGCATTAAGATGCATTGTAGTAACGGAACTGTATCGTAAGTCAAGGATCCCCATTATACATAATTTCATTGCGTGTTCCATCTTCGATGTTGCAACGGTTTAAATCGAAGAGGGTAGACAGATGGAGAAGGGCGAGGATGGTCGACAGGAGACGAAACGACGCGGGTAGACAAAGGGACAGAAAGCGACGCGGGTAGACAGGGGGACAGAAAGCGACGAGGGTAGACTGACGGAGAGAAAGCGAAGAGGCTAAATAGAGGTAGACGATGTGAGGAGGTTGAATAGAGGGTGACGAAGCGATGAAGGTGGACAGAGGGTGACGAAGCGAAGAGGGTAGACAGCGGGAGACGAAGCGAAGAGGGTAGACTGAGGGAGACGAAGCGAGGAAGATAGACAGAGGGAGACGAAGCGAAGAGGGCAGATAGAAGGAGAAAAAGCGAAGAAGATAGACAGAGGGAGACGAAGCGAAGAGGGCAGACAGAGGGAGAAGAAGCGAAGAAAGTAGACAGAGGGAGACGAAACGACGTGGGTAGACAGAGGGAGAGAAAGGGATGCGGGTAGAGAGAGGGAGACGAAACGACGCGGGTAGACTGAGGGAGAGAGAGCGAAGAAGGTAGACAGAGGCATACGAAGCGAAGAAGGTAGATAGAAGGAGACGAAGCGAAGAAAGTAGACAGAGTGAGACAAAGCGAAGAAGGTGGACAGAGGGAGACAAAGCGAAGAAGGTGGACAGAGGGAGACAAAGCGAAGTAGGTGGACAGAGGGAGACAAAGCGAAGAAGGTGGACAGAGGGAGACAAAGCGAAGAAGGTGGACAGAGGGAGACAAAGCGAAGTAGGTGGACAGAGGGAGACAAAGCGAAGAAGGTGGACAGAGGGAGACAAAGCGAAGAAGGTGGACAGAGGGAGACAAAGCGAAGTAGGTGGACAGAGGGAGACAAAGCGAAGAAGGTAGACAGAGGGAGACGAAGCGAAGAAGGTAGACAGAGGGAGACGAAGCGACGGGGGTAGGCAGAGGCAGACAACGTGACCTGGGTATATGGACGAATATAAGGGTAAATATACGGGGGTAAGCGAGACGAATCATGGATGAAGGTATGAATATTTGTCTCGTAAGATGTAGCCCGAAAAATGACCTTCAATCTGTTGTTAATTAGACCAAATCATAACTTCCTAATTTGACCGCCTTCAAAACTAAACTTATCTTTTTAAACTTTTTAGTGAGAACCATTTTGAATTGCATTAAAATGTCTGAGCATAAACTTTTGGAGTGAAACCAGTTTCACATTCTCCGTCTAACCATTCAAACTGACATGAATTATAAGAATTGTTTCTAATGAATAGATAAGCGTGCTGCCAAGAAAATTAATTCACAGTATCATACTAAACTATTTTTCTAACCAGAATATATCTTGCGCTTTTAAAATTCTACCATTCGTCCGTAGATTAAATATTGCTGGCATATATATTCTTGTTCTTCTTGTCAAACCTAAAGAATATAAAATGTTAACGGACCTGAAATATTACCTTCAATCACTTTCATACCACCGTAAATTATCTTCCGTGTACCTAATCTCTATATTTTTCATGCCGTTCGTTCTAATGAGCCTTCGTCTTTAGTACATCGACTGCATAAATTTACGAGCAGTACAAGCCTGGCAGGTAGGTTTCATGATTTTGTTGTTGAAATGTCTTGATGTAACTGTATGCTATATGTTCATGTTTGCTTCTCTCACACTTCTCACTTGTGGAAATCTCTCCTGGCTTCTTGCTTTCCCGCCAACTCTTATCTTCAAATGCAACATCCTTTATAAGGTTCCTGTAATTATATTGTCCTTTCTTTTCAATAAATTTTTGTCAGTTTCTTTCACCCTCAGTAACAGCGTGCATCTTCGTGGACTTTTTTTTGGGGGGGGGGAAACTGACTGGGAAAAATATGTAATGAATCAAAGTAATAATACATTACTGAAAAAACCTAGAATATTTTGGAATATTGATGAAATGCTGCCACATGTTCACCAATGAATCCAGTAATAATTACATGAAAAAGAAATAAGAGCATAACAAAGTAGAACCAAAAATAACGGGAAATTCTCGTCGGAAATATAGAAGAAAATTTTATAATAGTGGCTTAGAATTTCGCGCTGATTTTAAAGATGCAGTTTATTGCAAAGTAGTAAAAAGGGCCATTTTTTTATTGTTCTGTGGAAGCAGAGGATATTCAGTAATTTTAAATTTCATTTGCTGTGAATAATGAGCGAAATTGAGAAACCGTGTTTTGCAGATAAAATTCATTAATATTTTCTCAGTAATAATCAAATTCTACCTGAAATATGACTGCCAATTTGTAGGTGGAACAGGAGAAAATATTTTTTCAGATATCTTGAATTAACGTTTTTGTAACTGTGTTATAATAATATTCATTCATTTTTTTTTTCGATTGGCTGTGTCTCTTCCTAAATGAAGTTTAAAAGTTTAACTTGAGGAGACCAGAACATGTATAAGGCTACCTAGCGACCATACAATGTTTGCTGTAGTATAAACATATAATTATGTGGTGATATCTCCAAGAAGGATAACACGGGTCTTGAATTATCCTTAATTTATCTTAAAATTTGTTCAATTCATGATTTCCTCAGTCTAGTACTGGGTATGACGATAGACTACAACCGGCAGCAATGCCTCTGATCGGAAGATTGGACGTCTTAAATTGCGTGGAATAACCTCTTAATTGCTGTTGATCCCAGATCCAACTTGACCTGAGGTTCTTGCACCAGTTAGGGTCCCAGCTATGGGCAAATAGTGAACTTCCCCCAAACAAAAGTGGATGAAAGTATAAAATACATTTTTTATAGAAATATACCAGCAATATATATATATATATATATATATATATATATATATATATATAATAAAAAGGCTTAAACACTAATATTAGTGTTCAAGCCTTTTTATTATATCCTTACTCTGTCCTAGACATTGAGTTCTACCTGGATCCTTCCTCTTGGAAAAATTTTTTCTGAAAATATATATGTATGGAAATTTTTTTAGATATATTTTCATATGTATGTATATTTTCCACTAATATATATATATATATATATATATATATATATATATATATATATATATATATATATATATATATATATACCAACAATAATCTGTACTTTATCTAATAGTTTTCAGGATCAGGCTTGTATATAGTTTTTAGAAGGATTCCTGTGGAAACTATATTCTCTTACTAAACCTGTTTATATATATATATATATAATTACCTGTTTATATATATATATATATATATATATATATTAGAAAGGAAAAGACAATATTTATAAGGCATCTTTAAAAGCAAAAGCTAAAATAAAAACAACCGGTTTCGTCCCAGTACTTATCAAGTATATTTACTCTGGGAATTTAAAAAGTGTGTAAATTAATTTTTAATTAACGAATGTAATCGAATGGGGAAAAAAAATTATGGATTTCAAGAAACTAGAGTCCAATAATATTCAGACCCTGCAAGCATTCCCTCTGTTTACAAAGGGAAGGCTCACGAGATATGATATACAAGGACTCTAGAACCTTGAGGTGAAATGTGGAGTGGGACCTAGATAAAAGTATTAAATCGATCACCCCTAAAATTGTCCACACATTTCGTGAGCCTTCCCTTTGTAAACAGAGGGAATGCTTGCTGGGTCTGAATATTATTGAACTCTAGTTTCTTGAAATTCATAATTTTTCTTTCTCCCCATTCGACTGACGTATACAACTGCATTTGTAAATGGGCAAAGGAGATCATGAAGGTTGATTTCTCAAAAAGTTCTGTTCACAGATGTAAGTCGTGCAACACCAGATGGACTTGATTGTTGGTGCAAAGGTTGGGTCGTAAATGGGCGAGATAGTCATCAACACTTGACACTCCAACAAGGAGGAGGTGGTATTATGATTTAGGCTGGGATTATTGGAGGTATCATGGTTGATCCATGGAGAGTGTCTGACGGTAGGAAAATAGCCGCAGATGTTTATATAGTCTTCCTCAAAGAGCTAAACCCAATTGATAACCTGTGGAGCCTTCTGAAGCGATGCGTTTATGAGATTGAACGCTAATTTAGAAGCAGGGATGACTTATGGCAGAAAATAATCAGCGCATCGCGTGAAATTACGTCAGAGAAGATCCAGAAATTGACCAGCGCCTTTTCCAAGTCAATTAAAAAAAGGATCACGTAACTCAAACTGATGAAATTCACTATCTTTTAAAACTCTGTTTACGTTTTTATTTTTATTTTTTATTTCGATTTAATGTCATCTTATTTACTCTATGCATCCATATTTTTTTTAAATGAATCAATTAAAGTGTTATTTTCTTTTTAACTGTTTTTTTTATTATACCTTGCTAATAATTTGACAGACTAATAAGTAAATTAAGTAAATGACCGTAACATATGTTCCTTTTTCTAGAATCTTACAATTTTTACAGAGCAGGTGAATATACATCTTATCATCATTCCCGGATAAATCCGTTAAATTCCAAGCAGTATTTTTTAGGTTGTATGGAATAGATTCACCACGTATATATATATATATATGTAAACATATTGTGTGTATACATATATATATATATATATATATATATATATATATATGTAAGCAAATATATGTATATAGATCCGACAGTATGAAGAAAAATATATACGGAAAAAACAAAACAAAAATCCTTATATACAATTATGCTGTTTTAATGTTAATATGTCAAGGTCAGACGTTTCGGTCTAATAAACCATCTTCAGGACATATACATAAATTATAACATTATCAATACAACATGACAAAGACGATGTACATAAGAACAAGACTTGTCCAAACAAATAACTGAAAGTTTTATAATATCAGCGCTCCGTGATTTTGATTCCGTGAATACTGTGTTCTAAACATATATTAAAATAACTCTCTCCCGCTATATATATATATATATATATATATATATATATATATATATATATATATATATATGAGGGTCAACCTGATCAGTTTCCAGGAAACTGAGAGCCCGACACCGGCACATGAGATTCGATTATAGTGGTGGAGGTTTCGTGCAAGACCATCCACACTTTTTGAAGGGTCGAATACAGAGACCTGGTGCACTACGTGCCACAAGGTCCCCAAACAAACCTCCGCAGGTTTTGAATTCAGAGTTGTCCTTCTCCTAGACCAGTTGCCATCCAAGGCTATAGAACCCAGTCTGTCCTGCTATTTTACCCATAGCTGGAGGGAGAAGAAGAGGATTCACACCTTTCCCAAGGGTATTAGCACGTAAGTGAATGTAATGGATTCAACCTGGATTCGAACTCGGCTCTGTGATTCCTCAATCCGAGCCGATATCCACGTGTTTCTAATTATATATATGTGTGTGTGTGTGTGTCTGTGTATCGCTCTCTCTCTATATATATATACATATCTTTATCTATCTATCTATCTCTCTCTATATATATCTTACTGTCTCTTATATATATATATATATATATATATATATATATATATATATATATATATATATATACACGAGTGTCACAAAAAATAAATGTAGATGCTGTTATAGACGGTGTGTGTAGTTTTGTTTTACATGATTGTCAAATAAATTTGGGTGTAGGTTTGGTCTGCGCTAGTTCCATATGTAATTGAATGTACGTTTGTTCCACGCTAATGTCAAATGAAATTGGATGTAGATTTAGTTTGCACGATCCAAATGTTAAGAAATATGTTGATTTGCATAAGTTCCAAAATGGTAGACATTGCACGAGATTTCCTTTTGCACAAGAGTCAAAATGGTAGACATAGTCATAGAAAAACAGTAGTCTTTTTCCAAGTGGCTTCTTTGAACGTTGTCATGTTCTTGACCTCATATATTCCATTCGCATTTATTACTTTCGTTTTTAATTAGTTGTTAAATATGGACAAGACGACAAATGAAATCTGTTCGTTTATTTCCTTCATTTGAAACAAAAAATCATCTTAATTGGTTTTATATATGTGAGTATGGAGAGTTATTTTACAATATTTGTCATGTTTTTTCTTTGACGACCTCTTTAATTATGTCCATGTCAGGTCGTGCAATTTGTCAGAAAGTATTTCTTATCCTTCTTTTTTCCTACCATCAGTTTTTATTTTATTTTTTAGTTCTTTGGCTTCAAAAGCACGAAATTAAAATTTCCATAATCAATTTGATCTAAATTAGAAAAGTAGAAGTTTTCACGTTAACAAATATCAATCACAAACACACACACAATTTTCAGCTATATAATTTATGATCATCAATGAATTTAACTTTTTTTCAAGGAAGGCGTTTGCGTTCAGAAATAATTATTTCTGCAATGCCAATGTTTATTTCTAAATTAGTCTATGCATTTATATTTATATACATACGTATTGTTATAAATCCAAATCTTGTAACGGAAGTATGTTAGCCTTAAACGAAGACACGGAGATGGACATAACATCGTTAGGTACATATTTACACGTTAGAAAGTAGTAAAAATAGAAGTTACGAAACTTCCGCTTTAGAAAAGACGGGCAATAAAACAGTCCATTTTAATACGAAACCGGAAATAGATGCCTCTATTTCATGATGCAGCACACACATACGCGTGTGTGCGTGATAAAATGTATGCAAGTGCAATAAAAATAAAGAAGCCTAATGTGGAAAACAAATATGTAACCAATAGTAGTTTACATTTAAAACATAAGAATTTACTGTGGAAATATAAATCTTCTACAAGTAAAATTGCCATTCTAAGAGACTGGTATTGTCGGAGTTAACTCCTCCTTAATTCCCTAATAGTTCACTAGTGGTCGTTCCCTCTACACTATAAATACTGGGCTATTTATTGCTTCGTTCTCTTTTTCAATTTGCATTTCAGCGGACACATTTGAAAATGTGATCACTCGCAGAGATCCGCGTTTTCACACACTTGTGGGTAAACGACATGAAACACACATACACTTACGTAGGAACTTTCACCAATATACAAACTCTGTACGTTCACACACAAGCACAAATGTTGATGTCTTTGTCACTTGTAAAGTTTTTGTTTAATACATATATTTGTTGACATATATATTTCGGTCTTGTTTGTTTTCTTTACATTTCTTCGATTGGACTCAACTTGAGTCCGCCATATTCTTGTAGGTGGACCTTCTTCTAGCAGGAATAAACAGCACGTGTTTCTAATTCAACAACACGTAAAGCCCACGGTCCTATACAGTATGAAATAAAGCCGTTAAAAAAAATAAAGGAAAAAATAACACTTTATTAAACTTGGTGAATGTTCAGGTTCAAATCCCCGTTGAGTTGTTTGCGTTCATTTTCTAACAAATACCATTGTGAAAGGACATATTCATTTTAATCTCTCCCGGCTATGGGATAAATAGCAGAATAGCCTAGCTTCTTTATTTTTGTGTAGCAGCTAGGGTACGCGAACTAATATACTCATTTCAATGCCATTGTCATAGAAACGGACAACCGCTCTACTATATTTAATAATAAGTTATAGCAATCCATAGATAAAGAAATAGTCGCGATGATTCTTACAATTAAATAAATTGTAGTTGAAGGCAATGGCGATTTTATTGATGAATTCACTTGCGTATTTCAAAATATTTGTGTGTAATTTTGGTGAAAATTTCTGGAAAAATAAGATGTCAGCGTTATTTTCTTTTTTACGTAATTTAGACAATTTATACAACGCACCCTGTATTTGTCTCAGCTAAAGAACATATTAGAAATGTATTCTATGAGTTTTCAATAGAAATGGATTCCTTACCATAATATCAAGAGCCAATGTCAGTGAAAATGAGAGGGAGGGAGAGAGGGATGGATAGATAGATAGATAGATAGATAGATAGATAGATAGATATAGACAGAGAGAAAAATATAGACAGAGAATGACAGATACACAGAGAGGGAAAGAGAAAGAATAAGAAGAGACGTACAGAGAGAGAGAGAAAGAGACCAAGAAGACACGTACTGTGAGAGAGAGACCAAGAAGAGACGTACAGAGATAGAGATCAAGAAGAGACGCACAGAGAGAGAGAGAGAGAGAGAGACCAAGAAGGCATGTACATAGAGTGAGAGAGAGACCAAGAAGAGACGTACAGAGATAGAGACCAAGAAGAGAGTGAGAGAGAGAGAGAGAGAGAGGCCAAGAAGGCATGTACAAATAGTGAGAGAGAGACCAAGAAGAGACGTACAGAGAGAGAGAGAGAGAGAGACCAAGAAGTGATGTACAGAGAGAGAGAGACCAAGAAGAGATGTACAGAGAGTGAGAGAGAGACCAAGAAGAGACGTACAGAGAGAGATCAAAAAGAGACGTACAGAGAGAGAGAGAGAGAGAGAGAGGCCAAGAAGGCATGTACAAAGAGTGAGAGAGAGACAAAGAAGAGACGTACAGAGAGAGAGAGAGACCAAGAAGTGATGTACAGAGAGAGCGAGAGACCAAGAAGAGACGTACAGAGAGAGAGAGAGAGAGAGAGAGACCAAGAAGAGACGTACAGAGAGAGAGAGAGAGAGGCCAAGAAGGCATGTACAAAGAGTGAGAGAGAGACCAAGAAGAGACGTACAGAGAGAGAGAGAGAGACCAAGAAGTGATGTACAGAGAGAGAGAGACCAAGAAGAGATGTACAGAGAGTGAGAGAGAGACCAAGAAGAGACGTACAGAGAGAGAGAGAGACCAAGAAGAGACGTACAGAGAGAGAGAGAGAGAGAGACCAAGAAGAAATGTACTGAGAGAGAGACCAAGAAGTGATGTACAGAGAGATCAAGAAGAGACGTACAGAGAGAGAAAAGCAGACAGAGAGAGAAATAAGATAGATAATAGGAAAAATTTAAAATTTATCGACAATTTTTGAAAGAATATATATGTAAATATAAATATCGATATATTACAGACATCATCGATAATATGATAAAACTGAAAACGTTTTGATTGATTTTAAATTTAAATGATCGATTTTTCAATATTTTTTTAACGTTTTGTCATTGATCCTTTTCGAAATTCATTTTCCAAATCAACCTGAAAAAATAGTTTCATACGCAGAATTCCAATCAGGATAATTACGCCTGTTAAATCTGTTGATATTTGATCGATTCGCTCTGAATATTGATCCATTCGTCTGAGACGCGGTTCCCTTGTTTGTGCTGCCGTCCATTTTTTTCTCATTTGATATTTCAGGTTAATTTAACACTATTTCAGTCAAATTTGAAATACTGTTTTTTTTTTGTTTTTTTTAATATTTCTTTCCATTGTTTCCATTTATTATTTAGTTTTTGATCTGGGTGTGCCTGAAGCAGATAAAGCAAGGAACGTCTAAGTGGGTTTCTATGTTATCAAATACTTAATTTTTTTGCAGTTTTTTTTTTTACTTTTTTTCTAACATGAACTAATAAGAAAATTAACCATACTATTATTATAATTATCATCATCATTTTCATCAATATAATTAGATAATAGTTATTATCATGATTATCATTGCCGTCATTATTAACATCATTGCCATCATTATGATCAATATCATTTCCATCACTATTATCAGCATCAGTATCATTACCAATCTCAATATCATTACCATCAAAATTATCATCATCAATATTATTACCATTAATAGTATCCTCATCAATACCATTACCATTATTCTTATCATCATCAGTATAATTACAATCATCACTGTCAACATCATTATCATTGCCATCATCATTATTATTATCATCATCAATATCAATACCATTGTTATTATTCTGATTTCCGTTGTAAACTCATTTCCTTCCGGGACACAATTGGAACCTAATGTCGGAAATGGCGTCACGACATGAATATGTACATGTGTGTTACCATTCCTTGATATCTGTAAAATATCTCTAGGAAATTGAACAAACCCTTTAAAAAATATATATACTGAATTACCGAATAATGTCCAAAAAATACAATAAAAACTTTATAATTACCAGATTTTTTAGGGTTTCAAAAATTAAGGACGAGAAACAAGTAAACTCATTTATTTTTTACTTTTCATTTCATTTAAATCCAAATTTGTGACCATTAATTTTTATTTCATTTAATGTCTATTTGATTTCGTGTCATAAATAATAATTTGGTCAGTGAGTATACATGACTAGAAACTATTGAATTCTAGCTACCAATAAATAAAGGAAAAGATTAATACTGAATCATGCGAGAGATGAATATACAATTAAAAGCAAATTTGAAAAGACTGATAACCATATATTGATATGAATAGACTGATAGCAATAGACAGAAACAAAAATTATTGATAAAATACTAAAGCTCTCTCAGACAAGACGAAGAAGAGGTAATTATTTTCAATTTCAATTTACAGTTTTAAAGAAAGGATCAAAGCGAGATATTGGAGAACATTCTTTTTTTTTCTATCTCTAACTTTACGATTATATTGCTCAGAAAAGCGTACAGGTTGCCCGGGTTTAGAAGGAGATGTATTATTCCAATGTTTGAATCAAACTCAGACAAATTATTAGTGCATATGTGTGTTTAGACTAAAATGCTGAAACCCAGGTCTACCTCACAACACAGATATACACATATACATTATATACACGCATAGAAAAATCACACGCCGTTTATAATGGGTAGGTAATCAGATACATAATATAGATTACATGGCCCAAAAACATTTCTTATGAAATCTGTAAGAGAATGAATGAAATAATCCCAGGTAACCCTAATGACAAAAATGAATTGGATCTGAGCTTAGACTTCGGTCTACACACTTACAGATTAAAGGAAATGTGTATCTTTGCAAATGGTTTATATTACCTGTCCAGACTAAAGTGTCATTATCAGGCTAAACAGCGAGAAAACGTACAAAACTATTCACTAGATTCAAAGAATGAAGCAAAATCAGCCTATTTGGCTTCAATTTTCTTACATTTTACTTAGTAGGAAATATCGAAATTTATCAGATTCGCAAGTAGAGGAAACTGTTTTTAACAACCTTGGATAAATGAAGTTATTGTTTATTTAATCATTGATTCTATTCAAAAACAAAAGCCGAGAGCTATGGCTGCTAATTTTTCGTTTATATAAATCACGTATATAGAATGTTAAAAGATTCCCTTTCTCTTCTCAGCTTTGTGGTATAGTCTCTGACTGATGCCAAATAGGTCGAGTTTAGATCTCGGCTTGAAGCAATCGGACGTCTAGCCACACTGAAGAGCTGTTGCCCAGGGACGACACCGCTCAGTATAATTTTCCTCAACTGCGACTACGTCCTTTGACGGAGTCGCCCCTGGGTGCACTCTGCCCAAAGACAGAGACGCAACTGAGAGATGATAAGTAATGTGTTCCAAACCACTCGAGAGGGCAGTTTATACGCTATATGTATTATATAAATAAACTTACCAAATTACTTGAGTGTAATTTGTCTTTACTCAACTCTTCACGAGGTCAGATTGTGACAGACGGTCGGTTCAATGCGGGGAGACCGAACTCGTACAACCGGGCTAGGAACAAATACTGCCCGAGCCCCCGCAACCGCCTCTCTCTGGTGCAATGAGAGGGCGCATTCTCGGGCAGCTCTTCCCCAAGGGTGGGTACCTCGCAGTATAATTTTCCACAGTTGCAACTCTGTCATTTGACAGAGCCGCCCATGAGTGCATTCTGCCTAAGGACAAAGACGAAACTGAGAAATGATAAATAATGTGTTACAAATCTCTCGTGAGGGCAGATTACACACTATATGTATTATATAAATAAACTTATCAAAATACTTGTGTGTAGTTTCTATGCAGTATTATCTCCTCCCCTCACTTAGACGATATGTGACACAAGGTCTTTTTTTTGTTTTTGTTTTCATAGCATAAATAGTTCTGTTTAGGAATATTTGTATTTTACCTGGCCTTCAACAAGTTGGAATCTATAATTTGTAAAACATCCTTAACTAAGTAAAGCCCGTCGGCACAACCGGCCAATTTATTTCTTCACTTTACAGTCATGTTCTTTGAACAAATATATGGAACGTCCACAACCCCTTCAACATTTCATAAATAGTGAAAATTAATCCTATAGAAAAACAACTAATGTTCCTAGAAAAATTACCAGGTTATTCTTCTAAGGCAAACATTTATTAGTTTATATATTTAACATCCGTAACTAGCTGCTGTTTTTACAGAAGTTACAGGGTGGAAATTCGAGAAACTACATTCTACTTAAATGGAACTTTCTAAGTAGATCACCTAAAAAACAAACCATATTTCATAAACAAATGCAATCTCCCCACTCCGAAAGAAAATATAAAAATGCTTCCTATTTAATTTATTTATTTTTAAAAAAGATATCCATTCACAATTACCAGTTAAATGTCTAATACTAATATCTATTTTTTACTTCTTGATATTAATTTCCACTGGACTTACTTCAAGCGAAAACTTTTTTGTTGTTGTTGTTTTTTTTTTTTGTTTTTTTTTGGGGGGGCGTGTGTTTTCGATTATAATATCTGTGAAAATACTTTGAAAGAGCTATAATTCAAATGAAAACTTTGCATTAAAAATATGCTATGTCAGCCAAAGGTTTCGCAAATCACTTTCGTAAAAGATGCGTTTATTTATTTACTTTTTTGACAAATACCTGTAGGTTTTTCGGTAGCAAATGTAAGGAAAATAAAATATTAAATGTTTTAAATAATTACTGCAATATTTTACAATATGAAATTAATGTTTCTTTTTTTAACAAGATACTCGCAATTTTGTACATATTAAAATTTTTCGACCTTTCTGAACAAAAATTATACAAAAAATTATTTTTAATTTATATATAAATTTCGTATATTTTACATATGAAAAATTATCTGTAAAAAATTATTTTATGCATGTTTAGCTATTTGAACATATACAAATATTTTCTTTCATGTTTACAACCAATTTATGAATGAAATGTTCATGTAAATCTTTTGTTTCAAAGATTTCAAGTAGTGAATATATCTTACTTTGCGAACCGATAGCGAGCGGGCGAAACCTACTAGTTTATAATAAAGCACAAATTTTACTAATTCTTAAGAGGCAACTGACTCAGTTAAATAATGGACCACTATTTGCTATCTAGACGGGCATGGCGAGATCATTTGATGCTATGTCATTTTTACTAAGATTCAGTTTCTTATTAACTGAAGGGTAAATTGTAATATGATGTATGTGGGATGAAGAATTTGTATACAGCAGTGTATCAAGCGGGTGCTTCCTATCGAAGATTGATCTCAAGCGCTAGGATAGGAATCAGTGTCCGAATATCGACGTTTGAAATCTCAAGAGTCAAGCAAGTGTAGTATTTCCTGTCGGGTGAAATCTAGATGGTAGAAGGTGATGGATTTTATCTTATCGGTCGACTCTTCGTTTCACGGCAAATCGTATGATCTGCTAGACATAAAGCGAATAGCATATTGAAATTGAAGGGAAAAGGCAATGTCTATCTTCATTCTACTGGAATATCGTAACTCATACGTTATACAACTTTATACGACAACGACGAGCACAGAGTGCGGGTGATGTAATAAATGTAGCATGGAATGAGAAATAAGAGAGCGGGTTTCAAAATGCATTCGTGTAGTTTGCATTCATTTGGGCGCAAATACCCTTGGTAAAGTTATAACAGGATCTCATCCCCTATTTACACGGTAAAATAATTCTTGCAACAACAAAAAAAATACTCCAGTTTTAAATAACACTCAGTGTTGCTAAGTCGTAAATATAAATACACATCAAATCTCAAATTAATCAAACGTGAATCTTCCACGTGCGCGCACAAACACTCCCATATATATATATATTATATATATATATATATATATATATATATATATATATATATATATTATTTACATTGTTCGGACTGTTGTCTTCATCTTTGTCGCCATATTTACGACGTTTCAGGTAGTTTGAATTTCTAATTATTCATTTTTTTCGTCCACCGGTTATATTGTTCTAGTTCCACGTGTCATACCTCCATGTGGTTCGGTATAAGTTATATCCCTTTAACTCATCTCTTCAATTTTTTTTTCTTCACCTCAGCTGGAACCAGGTATTGAACTCATAACTCTTTCGAACAATCACTTGATTCAACCATATCTTTTATGTCCATCTGTCTTTGAGGTTAATAAATGTCTGGGGCAGTGTATGAATCTCT